TTGATCAATTAACTACTACATGAATGTATAGACCGAGAAAAAGAGAGGTGGATTTACGAATTGAAAACCGGTGTCGTTAAGGATTCCTATCCCTGCGGAAGCGAAATTAGCCCCAATCAAGAGCCTCTGTCCGGTTAATTGAGGGCTCAAGTATGGTAACGTTGGTTCGGATCCTATATGCTGGCCTGTGTGTAACAATGTTGGGAATTAGTAATTCCACAGAATAAATAATATGCATGAAGATGGTGGAATGTGTTATGTGAATAGTACTGATTAGGTCAGGGAGGTTGAAGCCGTTGGAGAAGCGACCGGTGGGGCGGTGGGTGGGGTAGTCGATGCCGTAGGGAGGAGAGTCGGCGCGTGCGGTGGTTGGGAGGTAATTGTTGTTGCCACTGTCAACTAGTGAGTCTCCGAACACGAAGAACGTGCGAGCACCTTCTGCTGTCTTCGTGCTCGTGAACACTGTCACCACCGTGAGGATCAGGGTGATGAAGATGGTTCTGGAAGTTGACATGATTTTGAATGGGTTGTGGGTGATGGTGCATTCTAGGACTGGGGGAGCTCCTCTTATATAAGATTCTCGTGCCATGCTGTGTTCCGTTATACTCTTAGTTCGTTATCGCTGAGTGTCGAAATTAAGCAGATTAAACAACTACGTACATGTTTAATTATTTCTAGTTTTGGTTTCAAATAATGTTTAATTAAAGAGAATATATGTTTTCCTCTCTCTACTTCCAACAACATTCATTATAACATGGCTTCTAACTTCCAAAAATAAATAGTTATATACGTGTGTGTATATATATAACATTAGAATATAAGATAAAGAATTTTTTATTTTATTAATTTTATTATCCATAAGAAACTATTATTAACAAATTCATAAAAATTATTTATTTTGTAACTTTCTTTTATGACTTTATTTTTATTTTTCATTTTAATGATTATTATAACAATTAATTTTTAATTATAGTTTATTATACATTATTCAAAGAAGACAGTAGAGAGAAAAATGTTAGCACATATATAAATAGTATATATGAAAATTTGAACTAAATTAAGGAATGGTTAAGAATCCACTTATTCAGGATTAAATAATTGGGTTGGAAATTTTAAGATAGATGGAAGTCTCCATTTTAGGGTTCATTAGGGTTTTAATTTTCCCCCATAAAAAGATTCTTTGCATGTCATATGTAAGGTCGATTTCAAAACTTTATCATTCTTTCTACTTCATCATACTCTCCCTAAATTTTTTACTATGTTTCTCATATATTTCATGATCTATTCATATATATAGCTGAAATCATTTTCTTTTAAAATTTTTGTTCTTTTGAATAGTAGCTGGAATTGTCAAATTAATTTATGCTATCTTTGTAATATGCATGTCCTTTTATACATTTTAAACTTGTTAATAATTTTGAAATGGTTTATTTTGGTTTTAGAACAAATTCTATAAAATTATGTAGAATTTCAAAAGGCTTAACAATATTCATATTTATCAAATTTAATTATTCCAAAAAATATTTATATATTTTAGAGTTAGAATATTCAAGATATTACTAAAAAAATAATATATTTTTGTAAATCATCAATTTTTATAAATTTATTTTTCATAATTATTATGAAATTAAATAATTTTATTAGTATTTAAATAGAGAGACAATAACATCTTTCCTTCAATATGTGTCTGTATTTAAAATTGGAAAATAGTTTGTTATAAAGTTTATGATAATCTCGTTTTTTTTTAAACTTGACAGATTTTAGCTGAACCAAATGAATATATTTAAAACGTCAATTTATAAAGTACAAAATTGAAAAAGTAATTTTTCATTTAGTGGCAATATTTGTATAAAATTTATTCTTTATTTTTATGATTTAGATTATTTATTATATGTGTCTATTAACAATATAAAACATTAATACAACTGTGTTGCATTGAAGTAAAAATTAGAAAAACATTTTCTAAGAGCTTAAGTCAAACTGGCTACTACAGTAGTCATTTGTTGAGTTATTGCTAGTATGCCCCCAAAAAAGATTTGTAGTAATTGCATTGACAAATGAGGAACATATTGTGCAGTGTTCCATCTTCCATGGGACACTTGGTCAACGAAATAAAAACTGGTTAAATTTAATGCACCAATCAGTGTTCCTTTCCAATTTTCATATTCTAGTGTGTCTTTTTTGCCCTCTTTTTTAACCAAAACAAGATTTGTTGATATTATATATGTTTAACTTATAATAATCTTTAATAGGATCTCATTTTAATAATTGTACTATTTAGTTTGACTTAAATTTAGAATCCTATTCCAATAATTAAAATTTAATTTCACTCAAACCAAGTTGAAAGTAAAAATGTTTTAGCAAGACTATTTCATCCCTTCTGATCTTGTCTGCCTTCTATATATATAAACAAGTTTTTTTTATCCAAGGAAATTGAAAACATGGGAAAGAATTCACATTTGTTCGAAACTTTATGGAATCGAAGTTTGAATTTCTTAAAACCGAGAAGTTGATTTTTCATTGAAATTTTAACTCACATTTTATATTTTATAATCAATATCCGAGTTACAACACAAAAATATTGAAATTATTTTAATAATTTAAATTATACGTGTATGCAAACTAAAAATTATATGAAA